ATGCTTAATTTAATTAAAACAAACGTTAACCAACGCAAACAAACATCAATTAAACACTGCCATCAGGGACACTATTCAATATGCTAATTAAAATGGTGATGGGCGAATTGGTTTTGTCATTATTCTTAGTTTTGGGTATTTTGGGCACAATTTTGTCGCATTTGTCGCTGTCGTCCCTATAGTCGCCGCACAGGAATGACAGCGTTTCGGTCGCGTAAACGTCCAGCAGTTTCTCCAACCCGTCGGCAGACTTTTTCGTACACTCCTTACGTTTTTGATCGTAAGTACGCGCGAAACACGATCTCATTTTGTAGAACGTGCTGTCAACACAAAATGAACATGATAGTAATTAATTTTTTAATTAATTTTAAATAACTGACAATTATTAATAATAATTTATTATATTGTTGATTTGTTCGTTGTAATAATTTACACTGACCCAAAGTAAATGTACAATGTAAAAATATGCGTTTGATTAAACTATTTATAAACTGTAATTTTTTTTAATGTTTTAAATAGTACTTAATTAGTTTTTAATGGCTAATAATTATGGTCAACCATCTCCAGTGCGATATTATTGGTCCTAGTCTGTTCTTTATTTATTATTTTTACTAAATTAAAAAATATTTATATTATTTATGCTTTTAATATCAATTTAAAATTTAATCAACCTACTTTATTTTGTACATGTAAACAACTGTAAACTATAAATTAACTAATTTATTATCAATAATATTTATTACAATATGATAAATAATGGAATGCGGTAGTCGAGCTGAACAATTAAATATTTATATTTTCAACATATAATTAATATTTTTTAAAAATAATTAGCTTGATCAAATAATTTTTAATTTAGAGTATATAACACAAACAAGTTATATTTAAATTCTAAAATTAATTATTATAAATTAATACTGCTCAATACTTACCAGCACGATAAGGGTACTTTAAGTTTGTACTCGGTTATTGTTTTGATACCATCAAGCTCGTGTAGCCACTTGTGCCAGCACTTTCTATTGTCCCGTTGGGCGGCATTACCGCACTTACCATTGGTCAGAAACTCCGCTGTCCGGCGCTTTGACCTACAGGTGCCGCCGCTGTTTCTCGATATGCTGTACATCATTAAACTGATCAGACGTTTGCTCAGTGTTTCCAAACACTTTTCCGAGTAATTTTTTATCTCAAGCTGATAGTCATTGTTAATCCTATGGGAAATAATTTAATTAATAATAATTAATAAAATGACAAGTTAATAATGATTTAATTGCGTTCAGATTAAGTGAATTTATTTCGTGTTTAGTTAAGTCTATGTGATAATGGTTTTTAATTTAATTAGTATTTTATTATCTTACAGAATAAAACTGTAAGTTTAATATTAAGATTTTTTAAACATGTTTATTAAATAGTTATATATGAAAAATTGGTGTGTGTTATCGTTGGCCATTTAAGCGTAATTAACAATTATTATTAAATAAAATAATTTTAAAAAAACAAAATAATTTGTTTAAAAATTATTTTATAAATATATTTATTAATAATTATTTATAATAATTATAATAATTATAATTATTATAAATATTTGTAAATAAAATTAAATATTTTTAAAATTTTAATATAAATGACAAATTACTTGCAAAACTCTTTCATATCTTTGTTATTCATAGGGAAGGCTCGTTGTGCGGACCCAAACAGATACATGTCTTCAATTATTATATCGATCTTTTTGGCCTCCCTTTCGCACTCGGGTGATTTTTGACATACAATTACATTTATCATAAATAGACCACATATTACACCTGTGGCTATCGTTAATACATGGTTAGACCGGGAATTTAGCATTACATTCAACATTTTGCATCTAGTTATTTAAAATTACTACTTTTTGGTAAACACTATAGTAAAAATTGTTTGCCTTTCCAAAGCAATATTGAAAGTATTTTTTCGATATTTAATGTCAAATATTTTTATCGCCAAAAATATTTTGATTAAAAATAAAAATAAAATTTTCAAAATATTTTCATTTATGACTGAAATGAAAAGTGAAAACTTTTATGTTTTTATTGATTATTATTATTATTTTTATTTATTTAGTGATATAATAAACAGGTTTCATTATATGGTGAGATGTTTGATATATTTGTGAAATAAGTTGCATAAGTATTTTTCACGAAAATATAAACAAACATTTATTTTGTCATAGCGTTATTTTATATAAAAACACCAAGATTTTATCACCAATTTATTTATTGTGACGTTTCAATGTATAGAATGTAAAGTGTTTTATAATTAACTGATTAAGCTTTTATATACATTTGTTAATTGAATTTTTAACTCGTGTTAAATATTAAACATCCCTGACATTTTTGCTATAATAGTTTTGCAAGTAATTTGTCATTTATATTAAAATTTTAAAAATATTTAATTTTATTTACAAATATTTATAATAATTATAATTAT